TTAGGACGTTTGCTTGGCGTGTTTGAGGTAAGGCTCTTCTCCCTCTCCTGATTGGATGGTTTAGACTCCTGAATGGATGTGTGATGAGATTACAGCCCCTCATACTGAAAGAGTTTATTTTTCAACAACAGCAGAACCAGGACCGGAAACACCGGACGTACGTGTATGTGCTGACGGTCACAGAGACGCTGGATGCCTGGGAGGACTCAGTCAATATTGGTGAGTTTGTATGTGATTGCGTGCTGCTTTTGTGATGCATCTGCAGGTATTCAGCCCTCGGGGTCTCCTGATTGTTCAACTGTTTCCTGACTGCATGTATATTACACACACACACACACACTGGTTTCATCTGTTAGTCTATAAGTCTAAGACCACAAGTGAAAATGCATCTATTTGCATTTGTTAAATTTAATGATTTTTATTTATTTAATGTAATTGAAACCATATCTTTATTGCACAAATATGAATGATAACAAGATCTCCAAAAAAACGCAATTTAAATTGATTTTTAAACTGCTTCCCATCCCCTCTTAAATTCAATTCAGTTCAGTTCATTTTAATTCAATTAAACTATATCTTTATTGCAAAACTATGCAAGAAAATAGACATACCTATTTAAAACTTCCTTCCCATCCTTTCCCTGCTCACTTATTTTTTTTTAATGAAATTTTATTTTATTTTATAATTTGATTTAAAAATATCTATATTGGAAAAATATGAAAGATAATAAGAAAATCTCCAAAAAACCCTGTATACATATATTTTTTTAACTGCCTATTTAATCCTTTCCCTGCTCCTTTAAATTAAATACATTTTTAAATTAGAATTTTATTTAATTAGATTTAATTTAAATATTTTTTTGCAAAAATATGAAGGATAACACAAGTTATGTATATTTTTTAACTGTCCTCCCATCCTCCCCCTTAAATTCAGTTCAGTTCAATTCAACCTTATCTTTATTGCAAAAATATGAAAGATAACAACAAAATCTCCAAAAACCCAAAATACATATATTTTTAACTGCCTTCCCATCCCACCCAAATTTAAATTAAATATTTTTATTTTATTTTTAAATTTAAACCATATCTTTATTGCAAAAATATGAAAGATGACAAGAAAATCTCCCCCAAAAAATTAACCCTCAAACCCCCTTAATTTAAATTATTTTTAATTAAATTTTATTGCATTTTTTTATTTAATTGTATTTAATTTAATTTTTCTATTGCTAGATGATGATCCATGTTTCAAGAATGATTTGAGACCCCACAGTACATGTATTCATAACATTCTAATATCTGCAGTGTTTGCCAGTGTATTTTGCTCATGCTGCAGTATTTGTCCCGTAGGTCGTAAGCGCGAATGGTTTCCTGTCGACGAGGCCATCAAGGTCCTGCAGAGCCACAAACCTGTTCACGCCGAGTACCTGAGACGCCTGCGGATCAGTCGCCCATCTACTACCACCAACGGCAACCTGCTCCTGCCCCAAACATCTCCCAGCACCCTCACACCGCTCTTCAGCGCTCCAGCGTCAACCGCACGCAGATAGGACACACACACGTACAGAACAACACACACACATCAACACTCCTCTGTCTACATGAACCACCCACACACATCTCCAGGGCCTTTATGACCCTCACAGCACCTCTTAGGCACCTTTGGGACATTCTTTAGAGGGACAAACCAAAGTCGTGTGGGATTTGCGGTGAAGAATGCCTTAATGATTTATTTTTGAAGTCAGTTACAGTCGGCTGATCTGTTTTAGTTGTTGTAACTGAATAATTATTATTGACCAGCTTTACAAACCAGTTACATGGAAGTGCACTTCCATTATTCCTCCATCACTCTCACCTGCAGAGCTCGGCATT